AAATAGATCTACTTCGAAACAAACTGAGCTCATTTCGTTTACAAACATTGTAGAAGACCACGAAAAAGGATTTGTCTACCAACTGACAACTTTTGTGAATCCACGGAACTCCATTTCAACCGCGACTAACTTTCCAATCACTGTTTACCTTGATAGGTGGCCTCTATGTTCCTCTTCCACTCAACGAACTTACCGCGTCAGCTAACTTCCAAAAATCACGGAAGCGAAAAGTTTCTCTCAATTTTACAGTTGACGAGGGACAATCAAGGGGCAACTTTTAGTCATGATTGATCAAAGGAATAGAATACAGAATATTTTTATAAATATACGCATTATGATGATATTTGTATATTTATTTCATATTCAAATATGATTTGAAAACTTGCTTTTTAATCTAATCATTAAAATTATTGATTTAATATTGTTAATAAAAAAATAACGTATTAAATTTCAAAATATTATTCTTAATAACTTTTTAATAATTCTTTATAAAATTGAATACAATAAGAATTATTTTGAAGGATATTATTGGAAGGTTAGCATTTTTGTTTTACTAATTAAATTAAAATTTATTAATTTCTAAAAAATTCTATAACAAATGTCCTGGATATTTTTGTGATATTGTAAATAATATTTTATAAATACAAGATAAAAATTATTCTTCGTAAAAACCAACATAACATGACATTCTTAGCAGATACATTCGCTTTAGGAAGTGCAATAACTATGCGTAAATGTACAAATTACGCACGTGCTCACTATCATAGGCATCTTCCATAGAAAACGACGCGTGAGATATTCACGCGACAGACTTGCTGCCCCACCGGTAAAACTGACCGTACTTGAAAGTGTAATGAATAATAAGCGGACTTAGCTACAAGCTGTCGAGAGATTTTATCGAGGCTACTGTCAACATCCAACTAATATCGCGTACAACGTGGCGAGTTAATTGGAACTGCCTGGAGCTCTAAGCAGTATTTTCAGAGGTTTAAATCACGTTCGCATGACACCAATACATTCAGGTATCATAACCCTTTGCTACAAATGAATCTGTCATATTCTTCATAATCAATAATCAATAAAAGAAATCATATAGGATATGATAAGATATAACTATTTATAAAAATTGGATGTCATTGCTATATAAAATTATTCCTATTTTCCAAGTTTTTAGTAACTCATTAGCTTTTGTTGTTTTTTAATATATCTTCTATTGAATACAACAATTATGAAAAATTATATTTATTAGTTTTATTACTTACAATAAAATTAATTTTCTTTGATCAATTGTATTTAAAAAAAATAATAATAATAACATATATGTAAACATATACAGGTATAATATACCATTATATTATATATATAATATAAATTTTTATTCTTTATATTTTAACTATTTTTATTGATTCATTATAATACAACAGATAAACATAGGACGTAATCATTTAAATTTATATAATCATATAAATTTTAATCAATTAATGTATTATATTTACAATTATGTAAATATTAATCAATTAATCAATTAATGTATTATATTTTTTATATTTATATATTTATAAACTATTAGAAATATCATATTTTAAACATAACTTTAACATATTATTATATACAGTAAACTTCATATTATGAACCATATATTATATATTTAAGTAATAAAAGTATACAAATAATATCAGATATCAACAAACGAATTTCCATTCTGTAAATATGTTCTAATTCCATTAATGCAAAATAAATACGTTTTGAAATATGAGAACTAAATTTACTTAATCTTCCAACAGTATGATGAAGTTTAGCATCTTCATTGCATAATTTTTCTATAAAAAATAAATAATTTTCAATTATAAAATAGTTATTTTTTATTTTTATATAATATTTGTAATAGCATATGTTAAAAATATTATTTTACCAGATACATTAGTGTCAAAGTCATATGGAATAGGTAAATATTTATCCAATATTAATTCAATAAAATCAGTTGTACTGTCAATAGTTTTTAAAATATTAATTCCTGTTTCAGTTGACATAACTTTATCTGCTTGTTGCCAACTATACATTCTTAAATAATGAACTTTACAATAAGTATGCAACTTCATAACTTTAACTTTATGTTTAGTTTCATGTTTTAAATCTGTAAATGTTTTAACAGCTGGTCTAAGATGTACAGACATCAGAGATTTAGTTTGATTTATTATCTAAAATAATAAATATTTTAAAGAAATAATAATACTATAAAAAATTAAATTTTATAATCTAAATTATAAATATAAGTATAAAATTTATGTAACCTGTTCTGGTTCTTCTTTTATTATAGGTAATTTTACTTCTATATAATCAAGTCCTTGACACAATGTTTTATCTATTGTATTAATAGGTCTCTCTATTAATTTTGCAATAGGTAATGATTTTTCAATCATAGTATTAAAAACATTTTCCACAGTGTTAAATGCCCAATGTACAAGTACATTTGTTTCTTTCAAACATCCATATACTTCTGTAGATTTATCCCATAAATAATTGACACTTGGTATTTTGCGAGCACGATTAATAACTTGTATTTTATATATATAATTTGATGATTCAACTTCCATATTAATAAATATTTCTTACCACTTTTATATAAATTAAAAATCTCTAAAATTTTGTATGAATTTATATATATTTATATATATCATATAATAATAACAATAACTTATAACAATAACCAAAAATTATTTACTATAATATAACATAAACAAAGCAATATGATTATTTCAAATAAATATAAGAATTTTAAAATACTAATTTGATAAAATTAATAGTAAATAGTTTTTGTATTTCGTTTATATTAATATAATTCTTTTAATCTTTTATTTTTGGTACATAATGTTATATTTTTATAAGTAATAACGTTAAAGAAAAATAAAAAAAAATTCAAATATGTATAATTAAAACAATAACCTTTTATATATTTTCATGGAATATATAGTATAACATGAAATCATTAAACAGTTAACAAGATAATTATAACATGACTATTATGTTAAAAACTATAATATTTATAAATTATTAAGTGTACTTACAAAATTTTTCATGAAATTTTCATATTCTCATTTATTTTTCTCTTTTTTTTTTTAATAATTTATGATCTTTTTCGCTTTCTGAATCATTTCACTAAAGTATATGTTTGTTCAATAATTAACTACCTAATACTATAACTTATTTGTTTTTCTTTTATAAAAGCACTCATAACTGTGTATAATATATTACATTTTACCATATGATATTGTCATTCACTAAATAATCGTATGAGGGCACCACTATTATGTTTTTAACATTTATGTATAGGTCATCAAGTCATCAAGTCAATGACCTTTATATCTTTACATATATGAAAGATTTCAGAATTCTTGAAATTAAATTATCAATTAATTTATCCAAAGAACTTATATTAAATTTTGAAATATGAAGAATATAGAATAATGCAGTTTCATGGAAAAATCTCTAATAATTGTATATTAAAATCAAAATATGAAATATTATCAAATAATGATATTTAGTATTATTTTATTAGAAAACATTAAAACGTTCATTCATAATATGAAAAATCTATATTTATAAATTTTTAAAATTTTAAAGATTCAAATGAAATCTGTAGTTTAATTTTATTTAATAATATTTTTCTTCATATGAAAGATAATTAAAAAATTATATAAACTGTGATTGACTAATAAAAAATAAATTGAATTAATCAGATGACACAATTCAAAAATTTAAATTTAGTGTTTTTAAATTTTATAATCTTTAAAAACTCAAATTAAAAACCACAAAATTTGATTCTTTAAAAGATTTCTTTAAAAGAAATTTTAAAAAATAATTCGAAATTAATTTTGTTTAAATATTTCTTATCATATAATATTTATAAACATTTTTAGATGTATTAAAGTTAGAAAATTGACAAGTACCTACCCTTAATTTGTCTCAAATGTTTAAAAATATTTAGTATATGACATATAAATTGAAGTTATAAATTAAAACAATAAATAGCAATACTTAATTTCATAATTATAAATAAACATTTTGTAGAAATATTAGAAATTAGATAATAAATATTTTTTACTTAATATTTTATAATTTTCGAAATGAAACTTTTAACATAAAAATTATTGAGAAAAAAAAATTAAAAGAAAAGAAGTAAAGCAAAGAAAAATAATTATATTAATATATAATAATTATAATAATAATTATATTATATTAATAATAATTATATTAATAATACAATATGAATAAAATATTTCAATATCTTTTATACTTTTTTATATAATATTTATATAAATTACAGATTACAAAATCGTTACATAAAATATATGTTTTTTTTTATTTTAACAGTTCTTTTTAAAGTTATATACGTATAGAAAAAGATTTATATATATTAATTTTATACTACTTACATTAATTTTTTACTTTTTCAAATTCCTTATTACAAAAGTATAATTATTTTCAAGTACTTTTCTTTGATTTTATATATTTTTTTTAAAAAATTTTTAACACATATTAAAACACTAGAATTTTTTTTACAACTTTTTTTTTTTACAATTTGATGTACTATGAATCTTATTATAATATTATAAATATGAATATAAAATATCACACTGTATTTTATAAATTATTCTTATTTTTATAATATATTTTATTAAAAAAAAATATTTTACTATAAAAGTAAGCGAAACAAAAGCAATGAATATTCGGTACTTCATGTATTTAGATATAAATAATAATTTTAAACATCTTTTTCATCACATAAAAATTCATTCGTAAATAGAAATTGTAATTTTTATATTTTCCAAAATCTTTATGAAACAATCTGATTGTTTTTTAACTAAATTATTATACTATATTGTTTAATATAATTCAATAGCTAATTGTATGTTTTTTTGCATTTTAAAATTATCAAAATAATATTATTTTCAATTTTTACTTAAAAAATTTTTAAAATTTATCGATAATAAAAGAATCAAAATTTAACTAAAAATATAAAAAATTTACATTTACATTGATAAATAATACCTCCAATACATAATTGATATTATGTATAGTAAATTAAATATCCAAATATTAATTCTCACTTTTCATGCTGATTGTTAATTGACAAAATAATGAAATTTATTTTACAATTATTTATTCCACGAGAGGTGCATTATTGTAAAATTACTAGTAAGATTCGTATTTATTTTTTTTCTGTATTTTCTTCAGTTGCATCTTTAGTATTGATTTGTTTATCGTTCAAACTTAAAAAGTGTGTTAGATGAAGAATAGATATAACGCTTGACATATATGACGCAACATCCTCTTTTTTCACTGTTTTTAATTGTGCTACGACCGAATGGTATACTCGATTAGCGGTTTTCGTGGATAATTGTCCAATAGTTTGTACAGCATGCAAAATTTTGTTCTCATCAGCAGATACTGGAGCTATAATACAAATTTTACAAATTAGAAATATATTTAGTATTTTCTTATTAACAAGATATTTTGTTGGATATTTATAAATATATACCTGGCATGTTTTCTTCTCCTTCTATTGGTGGGAAATAACGATCCAATAAACCGTTAATGAGAACGCTACTATTATCAACACTTTGTACTGCCATATTACCATATTGTGTATTTAACAATTCATTAGCCTTTGCCATACTGATTTCTTTAAGAGTTGATGCTTGTTGCGTAGCTGACTCTTTTGCAGCGTGTAATTTGTCAATTGTTGGCTGCAAGGAACTGCTCATTACTGCTTTGGCTGCATCATAAATCTAAAAAAATTTAACGAAAATTTAACAAATTAATCAGTTTTTTAAATAATTAATTCTTTAAAAAACAATACTATTCGACAAAATCATTTGATAAATTAAAAAATTGATCATGAAATATATGAAGAAAAATATGATAATATAATTATAAATATATAAAATTTTAAATATTATAAAATATCTTGTTAATTGATTAATTCGTTTAATTAACAACATTTTATTTTTCATCTAGTAGTTGTACAATATTATTGTACAAACAAAAAATAATTAAATTTATTATTATCTTCGATTCATAAAAATTCGATTTTTAATTATATCAAAAATAAAATTAAAATTTTAAGAAATAAATTTGCATCTTGTTATTGTATTTGTATTGTATTGTAAAATTTTTTTTGCTTAAAAAAAAAGAAATTTTAAAAAATTAACATAATGATAATAGAATTGAAATTGAAATTTAAATCTCAAATATGGAATCTAAATTTTTGTTATAAAATATAATTCAAAATATATTATTATTTTTTTTAATAATAAGATTAATGTAAAATATATTTTCTAACTATATATATATAAGTCAGCATGGTTAGGCTCAAATGAAATTGATGATTCTAATATTGTAATTCTTATGCATTTAACATATATTATTATTATTTACCTTTTGAGGTGGTTGTGTCATGATTGGCACTTTTTGTTCGACCATATTTAACCCTTCACATAATTTTTGATCTACAGCAGTGATTTGTTCCTCGAACTTTTTAGCTAAAGGTGCAGTAAGAGGAGCAGCTGTGGCAGTTGCATAATGTAATCCAGCTTCGGCTTGAGTTAATGCCCAATTGATTAAATGATGCGAATCTTTGAGATAAGAATATGTCGATCCCGTTTTTTCTATGGCTGAATGAATAACAGGAATGCTTTTTACGCGATTAATCACTTCGAGATGAGGTGTACTATCAGATGATGAGGTGCTTTTATTATCTGCCATTTTTTCTGAAAAATTGAATGTTACAATGAAAAATAAAATGTTAACAATCATCTAATATATTTATTATATTTATTATTTATATTATATTATTATATTATATTTATTAACAAAAGAAGCAATATAGATATAAGATAAAGAAATAAAATGATAATTCCATGATTTTGCAATTTTAAAATTTATACTTTAATCCCAATTCTATATTATGTTATAAGCATCAATCATGAAATTATTTTCAATGTATTAGTAATATTAACATCACAGTCGACAAATAAAATAGTCTTCATTAATCATTTCAAATGTGATGATCTCATTTTAAACCATTATTCATAATTATAATAAGATCTAGATCAATTTTAGTGATATACCGAATTAAAAAGTATTACTTATTTAAAAGAAAAGTGACCGATTATTGTTTGTTTACTTTTTTTTATGTATTCTTACTAGTTAAGTACGTAATGATGAGTAAACTTTTTTTTGCAAACGATAATAATACCAAAATAATATAATAATAAAAATAAAGCTAATATATATTCAAATTACGTCAAAATGAACAATAATGTTTGCAAAATTTGTGAATTATCGTGTTATTGAATTGAAAGATGTAGATTGTGCTACGTGAAATAAAATTAATATACTATACTCAACTTTTCAGAAGATTATAAGTATAATTCATAATTCTTTCACTGTAAAACAAAGAATATGTTAAAATTGCTTACAGCGTTAAATATTCATTATGTGCAGGACTGATGACACATAAATTGTACTTTTAATTTTTCGGTGATACATAACTTTATTTTTAGTTTTTTATATATGTATCGATACACTTTAGATTTCATTAAAATTATTGAATTAAATTTTTCACGTTATTAAAAGTTAATAAAAATTATATATCTAAAAATTAATTTTGATGTTTCATAATTCTTGAAGTAAAACGCGTAAAAAATATGACTATAGTCCTTTATCGTATTCAAATTATCGATCTTTACCATGAACTATTCAATCTTATGTAAATCTTTCATATGATAGACTATGAAATAATACTCGGCAATGAAAATATGAAACAATAATGTCAATCATTACAATATGGACATATAGCTCGACAAATAATCAATGACAGTAATACATAAAAATATATAATTAATATATATTTATAAAGTAGTATTAAAATATTATTATAAATCATAAAAATTATATTAAAATATGAAATTAATAAATATATAATATAATATAACGATTTCAATTGCAATTGTTTTTGTTAACTTCTTAAAGTTTTAAAAATAAGAGGATATTAATTATATATATTTATAAATTATAATTTTTATTAGATTTCTGCAAAGATATAAGAGATAAAGATTTTTATAAAAATATATTTGTTAAAAAACAGGATGAATATATAGGAAAATCGAATTTTATATATAAAAAATTATATATAAAAAATTTAAATAAAACGATAATAATTATACTCATAATATTAAAACTATTAAAATTTATTAAATATTAAAAAATATTTGTTCTAATTTATTAAAAACATTATAATCTAAATGTAATTACATTCTAATGTCAATGAGTTTCATTAAGAATTATTACAGAATATAATTCTGTAATATAAACTCTAAACAACTCTACTCTAAAATTAAATATAATCAATTAAAAGAATAAAATATAATTAATAATTAATTAATATTATAAAATATAATGAAAACTGTATATATTAAGTAAATAATTACAAGGTATGATATTACTTACAAATATTAATTTGTACTTGGAATGTTTGATGCAACAGTTAGCAAAATATAGTAATAAAAGCAAAATATATACTATATTCTACGATACACACGACAAATCCCGTAACACTGACGATGACGATACGACTACTCTAGGTAAAAAGCTACTGGTAGAAAATGGTCACAAGTGGGGGCAGACATTCTTCAGGACCGTAGAAAGAACGTTACTTTTATCACATTTCTTATGTGTTGCACGAAAAATAATATAAATATTATTACATATACGAAAGACAATATAGATAATTTATAATCTCATAAACAAAATTTAAATATTCGATTATTTTCATTAAATTCTTCTAAATAATTATAACATCAAATCTATATTTATTTTATTGCTATAAATAATTTATTATCAATAAATAATAAATATATATTTCTATTCTTATTATTATATTATTTTGTTCTATACTATATACCTAATAATCTAAGCATTTTAGATTATATATTCTATTAAAAAAACAATTTATACATATATATAAATTTTATTAATATTATGAATTACAACTTAAGAAAGTGCAAAATAGATATATAATATAATTTGTGAATAAAATAAATTGTTATTTTTAATGTAATAAATTAAAAAATCTTTAAATGCATGATATATTCAATCAATATATAGTAATGAAATGTTATTAAAACGTTATTGATTAATTCCATAAATATTGATAAACTACATAATTTTATAATTATATTAATATTATTTTATAATTATATTACATATCAGTGTTTAAATGAAATAAGATCGAAGGGAACTTCAATGCGTGTCTACTTCCATGAATACATTCGTGCTTCTGCGCAGCTATACACATGTATATATACTTATATATGTATACATATGTGTCATTACTATGACGTGGCGGTCACGTCGTTGTCTTCCTCGTATTGTACAGTTGCGATAGTGATTATGAAAAATACGTCAAAGAATACGTTTTCATTGATTCCACAATCATTTCAACGAAACATGATTGCTACAATTTTAAATTTAGGTATTTAAATATGTTATATATTTTATTTTATAAATATATCAAAACGTAAATTATTTTCTTATTTAAATTAAAATTAGAACTATTTTAATTATCAATATTTATTTGAATTGAAGATTATTAAAATATTTAAATTCATTTTCAGTAAATTAAATATTATTTTTATAAATCTTTTATTATGATATAATTGATAAGTAGTTATTATAATAGCTAATAATTACTATTGCTATAGCTATTATAATAGCTAATAATAATACTAATTATTTTTTAATTATTATATATGAATTTTAAAAAATTAAAATTTAAAGAAAAATGCAAAAATTTAAAAACTAAAATTAAAAAGGAATTTTAATTATTATTAATTAATTTTAATATTATTAATATTTTAATATTATTTTAATATTATTAATATAAAATTTATTATTAATTATTATTAATAATTTAAATAATGAAATCTAATTTAAAGCTATTATAGATTTATAAATAATCAAAAATTATGTGTAACTTTCTGAATATGTATCTTAATATCTTATATTATTTCTAAGCAATTTCATTGTATTTAAATTATTCATTGTAATTAAAAAATTCAAAAATATAATTTTAAAATAAATAATCTTATATATATATATATATATACACACACACATATATATGTATATTTAATCTTATCTATTTATTATTTAAATTTATCGTTTTACAGATGAGAAAATAAAATGTTTATAATATTTTTTATTATATATTTTTATAATATTATATCCATCAAGAAAATTATAGCAATGCAAATAAAAATGCAATTTTCGATAAAGAAAATTTATATTTTTATTATAATAATTAATAAATAATTATAATAAAAATTGATAATAAAACATTACAATTTTGTGCAAAAAAATTCTATTTTTTAATTTATTTTATATTAGATATTAAATCTGCTTTTTTAATTTAAAAATAACAATCATTTCAAAATACTTATTTATTTTTATTACGTATTAAAAATAATCACAAATGAAATATATTAAAAAAACGAATATAAATAAAATATAAAGTGAAATATAAATAAATATTTTTCATAGATTAGTATAGTTTTTGAGCAAACAATAAAATTCTCTAATAATAGAGAAAATGATTATATCTTTAATCGTATGTTTGAATTATAAATATCTACAAGTGTCTTAGACTTTATTCATGAAAAACCTTATTTTTCACCACTATAAGTACAAATGTATTTTCCTAAAAGTGCAAATGTAATTTCTTAAAAATAGCATATAACACAACTATTAGTTATATATATATATAAAAAATGAATTTTTTATATATATTAAAAAAGTATGATTTTTTTATTACAAAATGTATGCAAAAAATAAATAGAAAATTAATGGAATCGGTGGAAATTTTTCTTTTTTCATTAATAATATCAATTAAATTTTTTTGTAATTGCATTCGATGTAGAAGCTTTCGAATTGACTTCATTCGTATGTACTTCATTCGTATATACTTCATTCGTGTGTATTTCATCATTTATAGCATGACGATTCGTTAATTGCAAAAAATGTACTATATTTTTGATATAAGATTTTAAATTATCTGCTTTAATAGTTCCAAGATGAAGAATTATATTCGAATATACGCGACGAGCAGCTTTATTAGATAAACGTCCAACAGTTTGTAAGGTGTGAAGAAGTTTGTCTTCTTCATTTATATTCACCACTAAAATAAAATCAAAATATAATTTAATATTGTATTGATAATATAATAATTATCAATATATTATTATATATTATTAATATAGATTTATATTATTAATAAAACTTTGTATGAAAAAATACAAACACATAAATAAATACAATAAATTTAGAAATTTAATTTGAAATTTCAATCTTTCTTTTATTTTTATTACTAATTTATATTAAATAGAAAAAATTATATTATTGCAACATTATGACTATATATTATCGATTAAAATATACAAATTATAAATAATATTTTTTTTAAAATAACTTACCTATTAATTGTTCATCTTTTGTAGCAGGAAAAAATTTATCAATTAATTTATCAACAATATCAGCTGTGCTGTCCAAACCTCTAACAGCTGCACTGCCATATTGTGTTTCTAAAATCTGATTCGCTTTGTTCCAACTTATATCTCTCAAACTTAAAGCTTGGGAAATTATTAAATTATTAACGAGCGAAATACTTGAAACAGCTGGTTGAACGGTTTGACGTGCTAGCGAATAAGCATTTTCTAAAATCTAATGAATAAAATGATTATACGATTAGAAATATTCACATAATTATTTCATATTTTTATTTATAATATTTTTCACTCATAAAAATTGATATATTTTGTTTCTAAAATTTTCCAACTTTAAACAAGTGCATTTATATATCATATATCATATGTGCACTTATTGAATATTAAATATTTCATTCATATTATTAATAATCAATATTATTAATTATCAATAATATTAAAATTATTTAATAATATAAAATAAATGAAGACATAGTATGAAAATAAAAATTAAAAGAATTACATCCGATATGATAAGAATATAATAAAAATCTATCGTGTATTATGATTAAAAAATTTTATCGCATTTTACGATAAGATATCACGAATCAATTTTGAATGCTTCTTTACATTCCGATTAAATATTTTTATTTCGTTTACCGGAAAAGGGATTGATTTCTAACCTGCTCGGGTTTCTCTTTAACCAATGGTACTTTTTCTTCGATTTTGTCGAGACCAAGACACAGCGTGTGGTCAAAGAAGTGTATAGGGTTCTCGAGTTTCTTAGCTATGGGAGCAGCAATAGGTACTGCTTGCTTCGTTGCATTACTTAAAGAAGTTTCTGCAGTGGTTAGTGCCCAATGAACCAACTGGTTGCAATCTTTCACACGCAAATATGTCGCTGCAGATTTTGATATTGCACTTTCAATTACTGGAAGTTCCATTACACGATGAAACACTTCGATGTGAGGCAGTTGTGCAATTTCGGTAGCCATTCTTCTACAATTTTATAAAAAACTCTGTAATATATATGTATATATATATATATATATAGGTATAGATATACATTTCTCTTATTAAAATAAGAAAATAATTAAAATAAGTTATAAAATAATCAATTTTATATAACATAAAATAGAATATTTCTTTCTTATTGAAATAATAAAATTTTATAGTAAAATAAATTAACAAATAGAATATTTTTTTTTTCATTTAGAATTTATCATATCAACGAATTTATTATTTATCTATATTTCAAATTTAATAATATATTTCTTTATTTATAATTTATTGTTAAAGATTTTTATTGTATATAATATATTATATTATATTTACATTTTTATCATTTCCAGAAATATTGATAAATTGAAATAATATTAATGAAAATACAAGAAACTAATAATGAATTACGATAACATAAGGTTCAACGGACGAGTGCATATACGTGCACATATACATGTTATATATAAAGTTATATATATATCACTTTCTCTACTTTCGCTAGAATTCGTAATTACGTTTCGAAACATTTCTAATTGAAAGTTAATATATTTTACAATATTTTAAAATAATTTAACTTTAAAATATATCTTTTAACATAAATATATATAAATAATTTATATTAACACAAATAACATTACTATAAATATTATATATTTTGTATTAATAATTAATTATAATATTTATAATTATAATAATTATTATTAAAATAAATTAAATATAAAGATATTGATACTATTATTTAAATTAAATTATTTGCAAATAAAATTAACTTAAGAAATATTTATAAATGATTATAAAATAGTTATTTTATTTATTTTGTATTTATTTTTAAACATTTATATATATAATATATAAAACATATATTTATAAAGCAATTTATTATTTATTTCGTAATTCTATTTTTTACAAATTACGTATTTTATAAATATTTCAATAATTAAATATAAAATAAAAGTTGTATATGATATTTAATATGTAAAAGATTAGTGAAATTAAAAAATATTTAAGAAGTTTACAATTTTTTAAAATTATTATATCCTAAAATTTTAAATTAAAATTATAATATAATAATATATATTTTGTATAAATAATTATATATTTTGAACATAAAAAACTTGAAACTTTTTAAAATTGTTTTAGAAAGTTACATATATATATATATATAGTACAATACAATAGTGATATTATAATAAGAATAGAAATTCTTGAAACAGATATTCTGAAAACTACAGTTTTTAAAACTAAAAAATATCTCAAAAAACTGAAAACTTATATATTTCAAAATTGTTAATAAATTTCAAATTTTTTTAAATGTACAATAGTAATATAAATATAATAGATTTTTGTAACAGAGATAAAATTTTTGAAATTTAAAAAAAAAATTTTTAAATCTAGATAACTTGAAACTCTTCTCAAAATTTTTGTATATTTCAAAATTTATTAAATTTGTATAGAATACAATGTTATTGTAATACTTACTTCTTTATCGCTAATCGCTTGTTTGTATGAAGACTAGAGAAGTATAGAGAAAACGTCGCGTTCACAGCGTAAATAGAAATGTGCTTGCTTCTAGTCTGTCTCAACTCTTATAACTGACTTACCGCCTGCGCGCTAAGGTTCATTCATACGAGCCAATGAAAATCCACGACATCTACAAGCGGTGATGAAGCAAATGCTACGAGGCTTCAAAGTCCGCTAATTATAAGATGACAATGCTTTCGCGTTATTGCTCTTACTAGAAGCGAGAAAACAATAAAAATCATAGGGACTTTATATCTGAATTCTTTCACAACACAAAATTTTCTTGAATAATGAATATAAAAACTAATCTTGGAAATATAATGATAATAGTATCAAGATTTACTTAAATGATAGACAAATTTCATAAGTATGATATGACTATGGTATGATCTTTTTCTATATTTTATTAAAATTTCTGATAGTTGTAAAATATATTATAAATTATAATATTATTTAATAATAATATTATTATTGTATAATAATTTTTATTATTATTATATCATTATAATATATTAAAAATAAATATTTTGAATTGCTTTTTAATATTTTTAAAATATACAAGAATCTATGTTCATCATCAAATTCTTTTTTTTTGTAACGAAATATTTTTATGTATAAAATCCTTAATATGTTTTTATTTATACAATTTACATAATTTATTTAATTGTTTAAATTATAATGATGTATGATTACGTATTTAAGATTTATACAATAAGAAATAAATTTTATCTTTAAAAATAAGTAGACATTTAATGTGCATACTAAATAAATAGATGTTTATGTATCGCTAAATTTTTTATAAAATATTATAAAACATTTTTTTAAATTATTAAAAACATAATAAAATGAATGAAATAATATTAGAAGATCAGAAAGATATATATAGTTGTATAGATATTTAGTTAATAGATATTTTATATATGTTATACATATCTTCTTGAGAAAAAATGATTATTATTATAAAGATAATAAAAGATAATAAAATCTATATATAATTCTTTTTATTTATTAAATCTTGATTTAAAAATTCAAGATAAATTTATTGTTTACAATATGTTTACAATATATTCATAATTAATATTTTTAATTTCCAAAAATTGGATTAGATTTTTTGGAAAAATAATATTGTTTTATGTATATGGAATTTTTTATTTAAACAAAAGATTTAGCGAGATAAAATTGAAGAAATAAAAGAAAAACTTAAGGATTAAGAACCAAAAAAGATTATACAATATTTACTTTCATTTTATTTAAAAAGAAAGTTTGTCGAAAAATGAATATCAGTTACAATAGCATTATATATAATATTCTTTATTGTAAAACAAGAACAAGAAGTTAATTAGATTAATTATATATTTATTGTAAAATTAGAAGCATATATAATGAATAAAAAAAGCAATGTGTTAAACATTATTTCTAAAAGTTTCTATATTACTACTTACATATTTTGAGTACTTTTATTTTTTTTTGTTTTTAATAAAAGAAAAAGAAAAAAGTATAAATATATTATACCCAAATACATAAAATACATAAAATACATAAAATAAAACTAATATGTACCTCTTTTTATTTTTATTATATTTCTATTTTAATTGATATCAATGCATCTATGCTATTATATTTCTATTTTGAAATCAATAGAATTCAAATCAATCGAATTAATTTATAGATATAAAGATTTATTTCTATTTAATTGAAATACTGTTGAAATATAAATTATTGGCATTATTTTTGATATTTTAAATTAAACATAAATTTAAGAAATAAGAATCCAAGCCATATTTGAAGAATAAATAATATTCTTATAAAAAGATCAAACAAAGATTTTTACTATTTTATAATTTCATGCACATTTTTCTCTTGTCAAAAATATTAAATGAATTAATTTTGCTTGTTTGTCTTATCAATTAGAACATTAAAATGTATTTATTGCAAAATGTAATTTGTCTAGTTTTGATAACGGAAATGATAAATAAGTTCAAAGTAATATAGTATTTCAAATTATCTAAATTTGCTTATTTGGTACATACAATTCTTTATTACTTTTTTTAACCATAACAATATTCTTGAATAATTTTAAAAATAAAATTTATTACAATATTTCTACGTTCTTTTTTTTTTTCTTTTTTTCTAATGCAATGAACCTTTTTCCAAAAAATAAAGCACTTAATATCAGATGAATAATAATCGAAAAAATTTTTTAAAATACATACACGCATAAATGCATTAAAAAAAAATGCAAAAAAAAACAAGTAAATCTTTTTAATGATACTATAATGGCTATGAAATTATTATAATGTTTATTTTTAAAGTTTCTTATGTCTATAATCATTATAATATTTTGTAGTAAACATGAAGATAATTAAGTATATCTAAAAATTAAAAATTCTAAGAATGACACGAATATATTGTGTTTTTTAGATAAAAGAAGTATATTAATCGCTTATCGTAATATAAAGATTCGCAACTAATAATATTATTATGTACTTCGGTGGAATCGACATAATTTATATGAGAAAATTTCAATCTGGAATATTCCCAATATTTATCAACTTTGAAAACAAAAGAATTATTATGGATGAAACTCACGCAGAATAACTTTTAAACATAACTTCGTTATTCGATACCATTTACTGGCGGATTGGAAGACATCGACCTGTGGTTATTGTGGTTTTGCTGATGAGTCTGGACGTGTGTTACTTTTGAAACGCTTGGACGACCAGCTAGAAAAGCTGCAAATTGCTCCTATAACAACGATGCCATCACGCAATAAAAATATACATTATGCATAAATATAAATATAAAATTGATATTTTTGTCGTGTTCAGATCAGATATATTTTTTTACATGCTTCTAAAGTGTAATACATTCATAAATTCCTTTTACGATTAAATATTGAAATCAAACAATTTTAAACGCATAATTTAATAATTGAAACTATATATAAATTAAATAAAAAGAAAAATTATAAAAAAATAATTCGATTTTACGTACCAATAAATGATTCGTAATTGAATTGAGCCTTTGTATGGCTAAACGTACAGCTGAAATATGTTTCTTCGTTGCATCTTTTTGACTGATGATTGGTATCATCTAAAGAAAATAAGACAAAAATGACTATATAAATAAACGATGAAATTTAAATCGACAAATATTTAAAGAAGGAATTCAAATTCAATGATATTCACGTTTAACGTAGCATTTGCAACTACATGCAATTGATTTGAAACTCTAATAAGAAGTCTGCCAAGATTGCGAGGAGTTTTGGCTGCTAAAGCTGCTGTTCCATTCACCAGATGTACAATACGACGTGCAGATTCACGCGTTAGAAGAACCAATAATTGTTCTACAGTAGTTGGCCGAGCTTGATTCTCCGGTTCGGGCAAACTTAAAGTTCCCCACAGCTCTTTGGCTTTTTGGAACGCTAATATTGGATCCGTTGCTAACTGCAACATATTAATTTGAATAGAAATCTAATGAGTTTGATTATTATGATTAATTATTTAATAATATCATCAAATATTATCATATTTGTAGCAAAGATATTACAGTAAAAATGCAAATTGTTGTGAATTTTAATATGTTGTGAATGTATAATATTCGAATTCAAAAAAGAGTGCAAATGCATTTGGAAAAAGTTAGAGATATCTTTTGGAAGAAAGAAATTATAAATTGAAATTGAAAATTATTATAGAAATTGAAAAGCTTAATTAATCATTGAAAAATATGTATAGAATCGTTCGAAATTATTATTATTATTAATTGAATATATTAATTCTTTCGAAAGAAAATATCAAAGGAAATGACATTTCATATGCGACTAATATCTGAGTCGTGAATCATCATTCTTGTTATTTTTAAATTAAATTAATAGTTTCATACTCACGAATTATTACTCTCACTTTCTAATTATATTAGTCAAAAGAAATATTACTTACCAATTCTATAACGTATAAAAGTATATGAATGCATTCCGTTCCTTGTTCCTTAAGTGCTCGAGCTTCAGCTAGCGTGCGACGTGTTAGTCGTTTCTGTAATTTCCTAGATAGTCTGGCACCGTGATTGATAGTTCGTTTGGTCTTACTTACCGATTCCGGAGAAGTAACTTCTGAAAAATAATTTTTATTGGCAATAAAATTTTATCGCATTGTATAGTATTTATATCAAGAAATTTTATCCAGAATTATTTCTCTGTTGCTAAAATTAATTCAATACAATATTTTTTAATTAATTTAATATGTTACTTGAATTTTTATTTTTTATAAATCAATGTTTTCTATCGTTCAGAAAAATTTGAAAAAAAATTTGAAATATGAAAGTCTCAAGTAAAAAGTGATATATTAATAGTGTAATAATAATTTATTTTTTATTCTAAACTTACTTCAGAAAACTTAAAATATTGTATAAATTTATTCAAAGATTTTTACTAATAAAAGTTTAGCGATTTATGATAATTTTAAAAAGATTTTTAATTATTTTTATCTTCTTCATTTAATCGCCACTTTAGTTACCATTATATAATAGGCTTAAACCCCAGGTAACACGATGATATCTATTTTAAGCCTGAAGGGAATCTTAAGTCTAAAGGTGTCTGGTACGTGACGTTTTGATGTTTTGTTATGAGTTTTGACTCAAAGATAATTAGTTTTATTTACTATTTATCATAAATAAATATAAAATGTATAAAAAAAATATTTCATATCTATCTAAAAATAAATTTATTATTAATTTAATCCGAATTATTATTTTTTTTTGTCTTATATTTTAATTATTAATATCAAATATTCCAAATAAAACTAATTTTTCCCTATAAATAAATATTTTCCTTTAGATTAAATTTTAAACGAAATTAAAATTAAAATATTTTCTAAATCAATAATATTTAGCTACAAAGACTTATGATTTAGCAATATTTTATAGAAATTGACCATCTGCATACAATTCATGTACTTTATGATTCTAGTTAGAACAACATTTGACTTCATATATCCTTCAAATGTTCGAAAAAATTAATCTCTCCTTAAAATTGAACAATTGTTTTCGTTCGAATAATTTGAGATTGCATTTATATTAAATTGTATTATATTAAATTGTATATCCATCATTATATTAAATTAAATCTTCTTATGTATGATACTTAAAAGTTATTTTTAAATTAATATTAGTAATTCGAAACGATTCATTTACCATCTATACCGTCGGTAACATCAGCAGGCAAATAATGATCAACATATTTGTCCGCAACAGTTAAAGCACCATCTAACGTGTCTACTGCAACATCCGCAGCTTGGCTTCCTATTATCTTCACACTTCCGGCACGCATTAGAACAGGTCTGACGATTTTATTGTTCACGTATTCTCGTGCATTGCAGTACATCTTAATAATAACACGAATAATGAATTAATTAGCTAACCAAAATAATAAATAATTAATATAAATAATTATATAAATAAATAATATTATTTTCACGTATGTATAAAATTACTTTTACTTACAAGATGTGGAGGAAGATGAACTGCTGGCACTCTTTGCTCAAAAATATTTATACCCTTACAGAGCAATTGATCGATCGTTGTAATAGGTCCATTTAATGCATGAATCGCGGGTTTTGCTGACGCTGTTGCGATCGCAAATGACTGTTCAGCAGTGTACAAACTCCAACCCATCAATGAATTCGAACGCTGAAATTGAAAATTATCTTGTATTTGTTGTTAATATATTTATGCGAGTTTTAAATAAATTTGAATTTGAATGAATCTTAATAGGAGTCAAATAAATCTAAGAAATTGAATTGATTATGTTATATTTGATTAAATTAGTTAGTTTCAAAAATACAATATATGTTTGTCCTTAGGAGTATACATAACACGTATATAGTTGAAAGTTTAATAAACAAAAGATATTTAACTGGTTGAAATCTATATAGAAATCTTTTCAAAGTTTCATTTGAAAATAATATTTTACCGATACTTCTTTGTTACTTATTTGCATTGCTCTTTGGAATGATTGGAACGTATATTTATTTTATTCTTGCAAATATGGCGTACTTTCACAACTGGTGAAACTAGCAAGTGAAAGATGAGAGAAAGTGGCGAAATGTACAAAACTATTGGATTGTTAAAATATTTTGTTAAACTTTGCTTACCTTTATTCTATCGTACACATTGCCAGCTATGTGTATACCGTTTTCTATGATGGGAAGACTGGAGATTCTAACAACTGATTCGAATTGCGGCAAATCAGAATGTCGTCTTTTTACATTCGTTCGTGCCATTTGTGAAAATTTTTGCTGTAATAATTAAAATCAAAATCATTAATTGTGTATTTTATTCATAAATTTATCTTACTGGGGCTTAAATATTTTCGTAAATATTTTTGATTCGTTTAATTGATATAGCTGCGATTTAAATTTGAAAACATTTCGTTATATTTTTAAATGTACATTTTAATATTTTGAGGTAATCTCTATGTATACGTGAATAAGAGATAAGCATTGTGTTTTCAACAAAGAAAAAGAAGAAAAAAAATATATAATATGTTAAATTTATCTAACGAATGAAGGTATTTATCATTTATATTTATTTTACAAGTGCATAAGTACTTAGAAATTACATAAAAAAATTTAACGTTCCATTTTCTACCATATATATCTTGAACTAATATAAAATTTCTAAATTGATAATGATATAAGATTTCATTTTTTTATAAAAATTATATTCTAATATTTAATTATTTGTCAATTTTCTTCCATTAGATCATTTTGTCATTATTTTTTTCGTGTAATATTCTTATCTAATCTAAGAAAATTGACATTATTATTTATTATATTTGATAACTTTCGATGAAATAAATTTTAATAACAACATAAAATAATTTTGTATAATATGACTATATAAATAATGATTTTATGAATATAATTAATGATACGCGATAAAGCTTAATAATTAAAGTCAAGTATGATTGACTAAAACATAAATAAATTATAAAATAGAATGTTATAAAAAATATTTCTAGCTTAAAAATGTTTAATTGCACATGATATAAACATGATATAAATGCATATAGTAATCGAGTGAAACTAATTGTAGAAATTGATAAGAAAGGTCATATTATAATATACCTCGTGGTTAATATCAAGGTTGTACTCCTTTCGAGAATTTCATTATTATAAATTTCTCCATAGATCTCAATATTTTAGTCTTCAATTTATGCGGACATATATACGAAAAATTTTAAACAATATAAGAAATTTTAATAAAAACGAATAATATCTGTAATTTCCTCTTTTACCATTGTAATTTGCTAATTTAGTATAGTTAGACAGAATAATGTAGGTTTCTTTCAAGTTTACCGTGATTATATATGATAGGCCCGTATTAAGCACAGGTCGATACCCCTATCCTTATCTCTCTTAAAAACCATAATGCAGACTTTGTCGACGAATTGTAATCCAAATAATACCTTATATTCACATGCGATATTTTTTACATACGTTTAAGAAAGTATCACGAGAAAAGTATATTAAATTTGACACGAGGAGAAAGAAAAATTTTTTTTGAATCGATAATCTGCAAATATTTGTAATGATGAAACAATATTTCAATCGATCATGAAAATCTACGAGAATCGAATTTAATCGATGATTAATCGTGTTTGATAGTTGATCCTTACCTCAAGGTGCAGACAGCCGACTGGACCGATAGCGAAGTGTGGATTGATCGTGATGAAATTATATAATGGAGCTCAGTAGGATGTAAAGACAAATGACAGAGAGGTAGTCGATGTTTCGCCAAAGAACACGACATCGACTGTAACGTCGAAGCCTGCGAAATGGTATCTCATCGGTTTGACCTATGACACATCGATTATACAGCTGTGGCATTATGATGCCTTACGAATAAAATCTTTTCTCGTTTTCCTCACGCTTGTAATCCAATGATATCCGGTGATGAAGATTTTTTTAAATATCACATGGAAATTAAAATTGGTCTCCGTTAAGTTTGATCACCCACGTTTACCATCGTTTGTATTCGAAACCACAGACTTTGTGTTCAAACGATAGATTTAAGGTTACGTTTACTGTAGTGTATACACGCGAAGAACAGAGCAATATATAGGTAATCGTTGCTATAAATACGAGGCAGATGTATTATTCATAGAAAGATTTCATTAATAGATATTAGATCAATTTGGAAGAATCTAATTTTTACATTAATTTTTAATTATATATACGTACTTTATATACTATACTACTGAATATATATGTATTTCATTAAATTAAGAATTTTATAATTTTAAATTTTAATAATTATGATTGATTGTCATAGAGTATTATAATGTAATTATACATGTTATATTAATTTTATTATATTATATTAATTAATATATTAATTTTATTATATTATATTAATTTTGAATAATAATATTATTAAAGATTTGATAAAAGTATTAAAAAATGCTGTTTTTAAAAAATTAGTTGAAAAATTGGAATCATTATCTTTGTTTAATTAGAAAAATTTTCAAAAAAAGAAATTTGTATCTAATTATCTATTGTTAAATAACGAAGATAAACATTGCTATGTAATAATAATATAAAACATTATGTTAAATAATAAGTTCAAGTTTAAGAAATTAATGAATACGATCATTTCCAAATTTTTCTAATACTTTAAATACAGAATTTAATTCAGAATATATTTTCTATTCTTTCTTTTGCAAATTTCATATTTGGACATATAGTTTATATTGAGATATAGACATTAAAAATACTTACAACATCATAGTAGAGGGGGAGACATAAAAATTACTTGTAGTAATAGCTACAGAAAAATAGTGGAAAAGGAGACGGAAAAGTTGAAATTATCGCAGGCAGACGTTCTTAATTGCTATACAAAGTCCATCTCATCAAACGCCCATATGTATGTATGGGATAGTATGGCAATCAGTTGGATGCGTGTGAAATATAAAATATGTTTCATTTTTTTTCTTATTTCTCACGTATTTTAAAAGGAGGTGCTTTTATACATATATGCATAATATAGGGTGAGAGATATACAAAATATGAAAACTTTTCGTATTTAAATTAAAAATATTGCAAGTATTAATTTTTCTTAATTAAATAGAATGGTGGATTAATTATTTTTAATACAATTTGAATATAAATTTTTTAATACAATATGAAATAGATAAATAAAAAACTTCAATTTTATTTTTTTATGGAATAATACATTAATTTGTTATTATGTATTTAAATATTGTTACTTAATGATGTGGTTGAATTTAATAATATTTATTTAAAATATTTCCTTCATTCTGTTTATTCCTTCATTCTAGATAAGAAATTGCGATAAATTATGAAGAAAATGAAAATTTTTAAATAAATTATTTCTCATGAGACATCGAAAAATGAAAAAATGACATGTTCTTCAGAATTATTTTATTAAAATGCTTGAAATTGTGTCATTCTCTTACGAATATTAATAAGAAATGCCCTTTGTATCTGTGGTAATTGAGGAATATTTACAATCATAATGAAATAAATATCAATTACAACGATTTTAATTGAACATTCTTCATTATTTAGACATTTATAGGTTTTTAATCTAAAATGAAAAATTATTATTTATCGACGCCTCAGAAAAGAATTATCTAATGTCAAAAATACATAGAAGAAAATATTATAAGTAATAAGGATTACTTTACTTGGTAACAATTCTCCAAATAAAAAAACATTAACAAATCATCGTGTTAAAAAATAAAATTATTTTTAAAAGACTCTTCTTTTAAAACTTATACTCAAAATGATGATAATAATTAAAAAAATAAATAAAAAAAAGAATAAGTTTATATATGAAATTCCTCGAAAATTATAAAACAAAACGATTTTCTTTACAAAGAATATATTCAAATTGTACAAATAATTTTTTTTTATTTTATTATTTTAAAAAATTTTCCATTAAATTTATTATTTAAATTTACATTTCATTAAAAATTATTTATCAGAAAAATGCTTAAATTTTTACTTATTCAAAAAATATTATGTTTATCAATTCAAAAAATATAGTTTTGACTTTTAATAAATTTTCATGTTATAATTATTTTATTGCAAGTTTATCAAAACGAGTTTAGAAACTAGACAAAACAAGTTTTGTTGATTAAACTAATTATGATAATATTAACTAAATACTTCGCAGAAGAGAAAATAAATATATTTTTTTTTCTAAAAATAAGCACAGTTTAGATAATAAATATTAGTGAATAAATACAAATCATAAAATTTTATGTAAATTTTTTTTTATTTTTTGTTTATAAAATTATGAAAAATAATTTTACTTTTAAATCACTAATTAAACGTCATTTTGCTCACTATTCAAAAATTTATGAATATTATTTGTATATTATTTGAATATCATATGTATTTTACATAAATTAAATATATAAAAAAACATATAATAAATTCTGATTATTTGATATAAAATTTTGAAATATTTAAAATAATAAAACAATTTATATTTAATAATTATTTTTATACAATTTTTAATACTTTATATTTTTAAATATGTTCTATACATAGAATTTATATATGTTTTTTATATATGATCTTTAGTTTATTTTTTTTAATTAATTATAGAGAAATTTTTATTTTATAACTGACTTATGTTTGTTAATACTTTATTTATTGTTGATAATATGTTTATATTTGTAATACATTCGTAAATAAGATTTTTATTATTTATGTAATTCATATTTGCAATAATTTGAATCGATGAATGTAGTATAGTTTCATGATATATTGTACTGCATATATTTAAATGAATATGCATATTGATCATTGAAAAGAATCAGCAAGCATAAACAAAACCATGTAATCAAAATTTAGAAGAATTAGTATCGAATTTAATCTTGAAGTACAAAATAAAAAACTACTTTTTTTTTAAATATATTAATTTATTTATGAAATTATTCGACATTTAATATAAAACATTGCTTCTAATATTGAAATAATAAATATAGTTAATTTTCATAAAAATAAGCAATCAGTATAGCAACAGTTAACTAACATTATCGAATATTAACATATCAACGATTCTAATACTAATATTAATTATTAGTTATATAGTTATAATAATTATTATTCATTAACCAATAACTGAAATTGCAACGTCTATCATATAATTTGATTTGTCTATTTATGTTGTTGAATAACTCATCTTGTTGAATAAAGTATATAAATCCTAATAAACTCATCTTGTTGAATAAAGTATATAAATCCTAATAAACATCAATAAAGTTTCATAAATATAACACTATTTTAAAATTCTTTTCTTATTAAATTTTGTTTTATATTTACATGATGGTTAACATCGCTGTTATTCGATAAATTAAAAGAATGAAATACTTTTATAAATAATATCATTTATAAATAAAACATTATAAATTTTAAAATATCAATATAGATATGAAATCTTACAGGATTTAATATCTTACGTTCTGAAATACCGACTTCGAAAGAGAGTGTTTTTTACGCCATCTGCGATTTATTACGGACAATATAGAAACTACTTATATTCACTTTATCCTTGAAAAAGATATACATATATTCAGGATGTTGATACATTTATAATACACTTTTAAACGATCGATTCTAGGCAAAACAAATATAAGATTAGATAAAATGTCGATTGTATAAAAATGTCGATTGTTAATTTTAATTTGATTTATTTTATGAATTAGTGTGTTAAATATAAGTATTAATAAAAAATCATTATTATTAATTTATTTATTAAACAATTTTTTTTGATTTTTTGATTTTATTTTATTTTGCATGCATTTTAAATGAAACATATATGCAATTGTTAATAATTAAATTGATACAAAGCGATTGTACTTTCGTAAGACGAGAAAAGGTCGAATTAATAGACACTCGTTTCGATGGAATAAGAGATACTAAATTCAATTAAGATTAACTAGGAAAATTGCTGGTATTCATCTTAAGAAATCATTTGGATGATATTTCAATTAACAGGAATTGCGGCCAGTTTTCTTAGAGTTAATATTCATTGGCAATAAGTGATAGTTTAGTGAATTGGAAAACTTTAGTGAATTGTCCCTGACTTTGATACTTATACACTCGTATTACACGTTAGTTATAACGCTATTGCGTCTTTTAAAAAAATTAGTTCAAACTAATACAACAGCGTAATAAAACTATGCATACCGATTTTTTCATGCATTTTAAATGAAACTAATGGCAAGGTTAAATTATGAAAATATATTTTTAAAAATTCAATAGTTGAAACAGTTTATTTCATTGAATCTAAAAAATAATAATAATTATAAGAAACAATTTGTTTGCTTTTTGTTTTAATTTATTGTATATATAAGATTTTTAATTGATAAACTTTTTCAATAATCTGATGAAAAAAACGTTTGAGATAGAATTTGGTGATAAATCATCTAGGAATTGCAGTATTTAAAATTATTTAGAAAAGTTTTAAAAAATTAAAATCACTTTGATTTCTTCAAATAGCAAAATGCAATTTTGATTATATAATATTATAGTTGATTTCAAGATAACATATTATGATCTTTAAACAATCTTTAGTTCATTATATGTTATATGGATATATAATATGATAATAAATGCATCAATGTTTCATGCATTAACAAGAAATTTTATTCTATTTCAAATTTAATCTAATAATTTATTATATTTTGATAAAATTTATTATAGCAAAATTTTATATTAATTAATAATAGTTTTTAATAATTTTTTTCATTTTGAATAACCATAATCATTTTTAAATATTAAATATAATAATAAAATTATATTCATATTCGTGAAAAATAGTAGGTAAAAATAAAAAAATAATTACTATTACTATTAGAGAAGTAATTTAAAAAGAAAAACGAATGAGAAAAGAAACGAGATAATTGCAAATATTAGGAATATAATATTTTTTTAAAATTCTTATAGTTAATATTATAGTATTACTAAATTATTATCAATTTATTTTTAAATAATGAAATTATTTAAATTAAAAAAATTAAATTAATT